AAGCCCTCGGGTACGTGGTGCCACAGCCCCTGCAGAGCGGGGAGGGGGCTGTGGGGAGCATCTCCCACCATCACTGCCCTCTCCTCTGGCAGATGAGATCCTGCAGCTGCTGGAGTCCAGGAAAAGGGACAAAGAAGCTCAAGCCTTCGTCAAGCTCCGCAAGCAACGAGCCAAGCAGTCCAAGGAGACAGAGTGAAGGAGGGGCAGGAAGATGGCCCTGAAAGGGGAACTTTGGTGGTGTTGGAGCCAGAAGCATCTGCAGGGAGTGTGGGGACAGAGGGGTCCCTGTGCCTGCCCAGCGCAGCTCCCAGCACCCAGCTCACTCCAACCTTGGGCTGCAATGCTCCATGAGCCAGGGAGGGTGGGCAGGTGCATTGGAGGGGATTTCTTTGCCTGCCTGCCTGGACTAGTAACACTACACGAGGGATGTGGAAGTGTGGCTGTCCCTGTCCATCCCTCTGGAGTTTGTCACTGCCAGTGCTGCATGTCCTGGCCGTGTCCCCAGCCCTCCTGTCTGCAACACGACTGATTCAGGCTGGGGACAGCCATGGCCAAACCGGCCTTCAGTTTTGGTTTATCTTTAAATTTTAAAATTTTTTTTCCCCTCATTCTCTTGTGGATAAGCCTCTAATTTTAAATGAGAAGCCACAAAGCTGGTGCGTGGGCTGTGTGCTTTGGGGCAGCAGCACAGTGGGGTGGGACAAGGCATTTGAGATCTGGTGGGAGCTACTGAATTTCTCCTTTTTTAAAATGTGTATGGCTCTTGTGTCTCTTTGTTGTTTTTTTTTTTCAATTTTACCACCAATTTCACTGACCTCCCGGAAGCCTGGGATCTTGCTGGCAATAAAGAGCATCTCAGCCCTGGCAGCCAAACCAGGAGGCATTTTGGGCAGCTGACAGCCCAGGCATGGGGTGCAGGTCCCTGGCATCACTCCCAGCCTGTGCCAGGGACCTGGGTCCCTCTGCAAGTGGTGGGAAGCTCTGCAGGGTGCATCCATGTGGGGTGACCCAGTATGATACTAAAAATGCCAGACGAGGCAGGTGGTTTTAACAATTTGTTGGGTTTTTTGAAGCTTGTTTTCCCTGCAATTATTACTAATTATACACCTGGAGCTCCCTCTACACCCCCTCCTGCATGGAGGTGGCCGTGTTTGAGCTGCAGCAGGTCCCTGGGAGCTGCCAGGCACAGGGAATTAAAAGCATCCCCCTCCCCTCACGGGTGCCTGAGCACCAGCTGCTCCCTGGTGGGCAGAGCAGCCTCTGGGTCAGCTCAGGTCAAATCCTGGATGTGGGGGTGGGAAAAGGAAAAAGCTCCTTTGCTATCTGTGTGACAGAGCCCACAGCAGGAGGGATTAAGGCACTGCGGGCTCTCAAGGAAGCCATTTGCTGGCTTAGGTTTTAGTGCAGAGAAATAATATTCCAGAGCTGGGGCTGGGATTGTGGGGATGCTGTCTGGGGTGTCATTCAGCTGGGTCCAGCACCCATCTGGGGCTGGCACCTGCTGGCAGCCAACTCATGCTTTATTATAAGGTTTACTCCACGAGGCTGGATGTTTGAATATGGTCTGAACTAATTTTTGGCTATTTTTAAAAAATCCCACCTTGCCCTGGGCTGCCACCAGCCAGGTGCGTCCCAGGGAGCAGGTGGCACAGGCTGACCTCTCTTCTGAGGTTGTTTGCACAAGCTATTAACTATTATTCAAGGTGTTTTAGCTGAATTTTTGCTCAGCTACAGGCAGTGGTGTGGCTTTTCTCCCACCCCAAAAGAAATCCCATCTTTTAGAGAAAGACTAATAAACCTTAATCAGTCAGAGCACAACTAACCCCATGGAGCAGGAGAACAGCCCAAACATTAAAAAATAAAGCTTGAAGCACACAAAACCAGCTCCTAGCAAATGCAAGCATGACAAAGAGGAAGAAATCTCCATCATCAACCTCCTAATCCTGGTGAAGAACCTCACACAGGCAGATGGCCAGAACACAAGAGGGAAGGGGCTGGCACTTAGATCTACTGATTTTATTGTGCTACCAATAATCTGCAATACAAATGGGCCCATTCAGATTATTGTTGTGGTTGGACTAATGGGAAGTGGTTGATGCATCTCTGAAGCATTAATTAGACCAAATTAATTAACAGGTAATTCTTGGATCCACAGGCCAGGTGTGTTCTTCTGGGTGCCAAAACACAAAACACTGCATCCACTGTGCAGGCACGGCTCACCTCTGCACAGCCTGGCTCTTCCAGGACATAAATCCATTTCCAGACCAAAAATGTGGGTGAGAAATGTTTGGATTTGCCACTTCCAAAGAGGTCTCTGCCCCACCTTAACCACACTGCATTGATGTTCTCTCTCTTTCACCACACCTCCACCAGGAAAGTGAATTTCAACACCCTGAAAAGGGAAGGGAGCTCAGAGAGAAATTATTCTTGGTTGTGTGAAAATTGGCCGCGGATCTGTTGTTCTGAGGGCTCCAAATCCCAGATTTTTCCACCCTCCCAAGGCCCAGAGCAGAGCCCAGGGCTGCACATCCACCTGGGCACACACACACACCGCTTCAGTTTGTATTTTTTTTTCTTAGCAAAAAAATAAAAATTTATTGTCGTCTAAAAAAAAAAAATCCATCCTGCCCTTGGAAACTGTGACACAGATTGAGTTCTTTCCAGCCCCACATGCAAATTCACTCTGCCAAGAAAAGAGTCTAAACCAGGTTTCCGACAGCCAAAACACATATTTACAGAGTACGAGAGAACGACAGCTGAAATCACAGTTCTATACATGGAATCAACAACACGTTTTACACCACTGATCACCATTCTGCCAACTTCTACACGGACTAGGGGCGCCTCTGCCCAGTGCCCTTCCTCCTGGGGAAAGCAGGGAAGGGACTGGGCAAGAATTGCCACCAGAAATACTGCAGTGTGTATTATTATTATTTTTTTAAAATGTATACTGTATTTATTTTGTTTTAACATTGGAAGCTACAGAGTGGGGAAGCCCCAGAAATCTCTCCAATGCAGTCACTACTTTGCAGGAATACTTCACCTTTAAAATACTAGGTTTTACATCAGTAACATCTATTTTGCTGTTGGCCATCACTCCAAGGATTATAATAACTCTGGAGGAAAACACTGGTAATATTCTTCCTTCTCAGATAGGGGAAAAGGAGGAAGAGAGGAGGTTCAGAGGCTGGGGGAACAGCAAGGGGTGACTGAGTCCATTCAGTGTTAAGGGCTTCCTCCCAGGGTAAGGAATTCTCTTCATTGTCTCAGCTGCACAAGCCTTGCCAGTGGCTCAGGTTCAGCTTCAGAGATGTACAAAAGTGTAAAACCCTTCAGCAGGGATCAGCTGCAGGGACCCCCAGGGGTGGGATCGGCTTTAGGAAATGTGCTCCAGCTCTGAGACCTTTCCTGGGTCCCTCCTGTGCCACTGCAGGCATGTGGCTACGGCACCTAAGGCCAGAGAGGAGCTCCAAGTGGTCCTGGCAGCCTAAAATCCTTCACCTCCTGCCTCTCACCTACAGCTCTGACCCTGCTTGTTGCTCTGGATCTACCCAGGCTAGTGTTGTCCCAAGCCAGCTGCTTCTAGGTTGGTTTTCCATAATAATGTAAAAGTTTATTGACCTTTAGGATGCTGTGGTTTCACAACACAGCCACAACTCCTTCCCCCAGCTCTCAACTCAGAAGTGTCCGACCTGCCCAATTAATCACCAAGGTCAGCTCTTCTGAAGCTCCCAAAAATTTGGGGAGGAAAATGTCATTATCCACTCAGGAGTCTGTGTGAGGAGGCAGGAGCCAGCCATGGTCAGGGCTGTTCAGCTGGGCTGCTCCCCAAGGAACCCTGTGGACCCCACTTTTGTTGTGAAGCCCCCTCAGCTCTGCTGTGTTACTGTGTGTCCTGGAAAGGGAGTTCCTGCTTCAGAAGGAAGCCTGACAGTACGTGACAGGGGCTGCACTTATTAGCACCAGGTTTATTTCAGCTCTTTTTACACCACACAAAAGCTGATCACAGACTCTAAAGCCTCAACTGCAGTGCTGTGATTATGGTTTGTCCTTCCTGCACGGAGCAGGCAGCAACAACTGCTGGAGTGGGTCAGGAATGCTGCTCCTTCCCCCTGCTCCCACCTCATTTGGTTCGGAAATTGTCTTTAAATGGCCCACCAGAACATTCTAAAAATATGCAAAGATGAAGTTCTCTTTTCCATCTGATGCTTAAGAAAATAAATTCACATTTCAATATTCCTCTCCTGTTTTTTTAAAGCAGCAAACAAATTGATAGAAACCTAAATTTAGGAAGTGTTTCTTCAAGAACCAGAGAAAAGTGAGAAAGTCTATGTGCTTGTGCAAAGAGAGTGCTGAGAGAGGATGGGGTGGGGGCAAGGGAAGGGTCTAGTGCTAATTCCTTCAGGCTGCTCTGCCATGAGTGCAGTGTGGCAATGGAAAGTTCAAATTTAAGGGCCACAAAACAGGTGAAATTCTGAATTCTTTGGTCCTTCAGTATAAGTTTTAAGACAGAGAAACTGTTTTACTCAAAAGGGAAAAACACATTTTCTCTGGCCTGGAATTTTTCCTTGTAACCCAGGGAAAGTGGGGGCAAAGAGCTCTTTGCCCTAAACCCCCCCCAAGTCCTGCATCACCCTGTGACTGTCCCAGAGACAGCCCAGGCTGCCCTCAGGGGACAAGCTCCACGGGGAGGGATTCCCTGCTGGAATCACAGAGCTGCTGCTGGACACATCTGCAAAAAGAGGGTTGGCAAAAGGCAGCATCACCCCTGAGCAGCCCCTGGGGAGGCAGAGGAGCAGAGAAACCCCCACGCTCATAAAAAGTGTTACAAACCATAGCCAAAAACAGGCTGATCAGCTCTGCTGCTTATAAATATTAAAGATCTGATTCAAGAGTTTATTTCCTATGATTTAAGTTAGTTACAAAAAAAAAAAAAACTTTTTAGTAAATTTTTTTTTCTTAATTGGGCTTTTTCCTCCTCCTCCCCTCCCACTTAAAATTTTTTTTTTTTATTTTTTATTTTTCCTAAAAAAAAGAGAAATGTTCATGTATTTTAATAAAAGGTCTTTCTTTAAGATCAGACCAAGGCAGATGTGCTGCCCCATGGCACAGACATTCAAAGGCTATAACCAAACAACATAGCCACAATAGTCACTCAACAGTGTCTCTCCATTAAAAAAATTAAAAAACCTGATGCTAGTTACAATAAAATACACATGGAAAAAAAGCATTTTTACCAAAAAACCCAAAAACAAGTTAATGGGAAAACATAAAAAAGAACTACACAGAGCTGCACTTAAGAGATCATCTGGGAATGCATATTAACCCCTTCCATGGAGAGGAAAGGTGGAATTATGGAAACAAACCTAATTATGTGTTTGTATTAAATATGAAGCTTTCTGAGAGGCTCTGGTAAAAATTCAGTTTTCCTACAATAGTGGGCTGCTGGAGGTTCCAGTGCTTTTCCAGGTCGTGGAGGGGCAGCACAGGAGCATCCCTGTGCAAAATAAAAATGTTTAATCAACTGAGTGGCCTTTTGGTTGAGATCCCAGCAGGTTACTGCAATCCACCTGATGTAAAAATCCAATGGACATGCTGGTAAGGAAAGTCACAGGAAAGCTCAGCTGCTGGGCAGGTCTGAGCTGGTGGCATTTCTCTGTCCTGCTGGACTATTTCTGTCACCACACATCTCCAGCACCAGGGTTTCTGGAGCCAGCAATCCACAAACCACCCCTGAGCTGCTGACACAGGCA